ATACATTTTGTCGCCGACTTTATCAACCAAGTCGGGGCGTTTTACCACTCCTGGTCTTCTGACCCAGAACAGAGTCTCCTAGTTTAGAACGGGGTCTTCCTGAGCCCGAGCCAGTCGTAAGGTGCCTCCTTAACACAGCAATGGACATTATCAGCCCATGTGCTATCTTATTCATGAAGGTGGCCTCATGATGCGGCAATGGGCCTCGGGATGTAGCAAGAGGCCTCTGGTCCTTATTTATTGCAGCCTTTCTCAGTTGTGGGTGCCTCCTTCATCTGAATTGTGGCAATAAACGGATAGCTGCAATGTATTATTTTGGGAAAAGGACTCCCCGAATTTGTTGTGTGGGAGGCAAAAATACTCTCGTCTTCCTGTCTGCCTGCCGGCAGCCCCCCCCCCCCCCCCCCCACCCTGATCAATGCATTTCGTGGCACGGGCCGCGGCTGACCGGCTGTGTCCTCGGCGGCGTAATTTGGGGGGAGGGCGGCGGCTGTTATGAACCGGGGTGGTCGCCGGTTCGTTGGCAGTACTGAGTCGATATGATGCCCTCCACCGGGATGTGCTCGCACCGGCCGGCCGGACGCGGCCGTGCGCCACTCGCTCCCCTCTGAGACACCGCGGCCCCTTCGAGCTTCGGCCTGGGCGGGGCGGAGGGACAGCGGCGTTCCAGCGGGACGGGAGCGAGCTGTGAGAGCGGCCTCCCTGTGGAAGGGGGGCGAGCGTTGGTATGGCGCATCTCCCTGTGGAAGGACGGGCGGGCGCGGTGTGACGCAGCTCACTGGGGAAGAGCCGGGCGGGCGTGGTATGGCGCAGCTCACTGTGGAAGGGCGGACGGGCGCGGTGTGACGCGTCGCCCTGTGGAAGGCGGGCGGGCGTGGTATGGCGCATCTTACTCTGGAAGAGCGGGCTGGCGTGGTGTGGCCCCTGTGAAGGGCGGGAGGGCGCGGTTTGGACGCGCCTCCCTGTGGAAGCGGGGGGGGGGGGGGGGGCGGGCGCGGTTTGACGCGCCTCCCTGTGGAAGGGGGGGGGGGGGGCGGGCGCGGTGTGACGCGTTGCCCTGTGGAAGAACGGGCGGGCGCGGTGTGACAGGTCTCCCTGTAGAAAGGCGGGCGGGGGCGGTGCGACGCGTCGGGTGGCTCTTCGGTGGACGGAAGCGGCTCTTTTCTGACGCGCTGCCAGCGTGTCATACAGCTGCAACATTCGTGATCAGCGACGGACTTCTTCCCTCTGCGTTACTGATGTTGAGCAGCTCTCGAATAAGCATGCATTCCACTTACCGCGGAACTACGTGAATCATGTCCACACAAACGTTCGCGTAGTGTGCGCTGTGCAACACTGCGCACAATGCACCAACAGCGCCGAGCAAGCGCACTTGTTTAGTTGTCTTTGAAACGCGCAAAACGCGGCCCCACGGCTCCAATTCGTGATAACCGGCAATGGATAGACGGACACCAGCGCGTGCGGTCGTTCTGCAAGGCGCTCTTCGTGAAATATCTGCCCGCATCTCGAAAGTCGGCCGCTGGCATCGTATCATTGCGAGTGTCACTTCGAGTGTCACTTCGAGTGTCACTTCGAGTGTCACTTCGAGTGTCACTTCGTACACGTGGCTCACACCGATCTACGTGCTGTACGCATCCGTACGTCATGCCACGCCACGTACAGTACGTGCACTTGGCTCATACTATGCCACGTGTAGCTGGCATACCTCCCTTATACCATGCCACGTGTTGTAAAAGCACGTGGCTCATGCAATGTAACGTGGATCATGCCGTACCACGTGTATTGCAAGGCGGCGGCTCATGAAACGTCTCGTGGATCATGCCACACTACGCGTATTGCAGAAACGTGGCTCGTGCCACGTGACGCATGCCACGCTTGGCTGCGTCCTCCGAGCATGGCGTGTTGGCAGATAGTGCCCTTACTGCGGCTGTCGTTGAGTGATGAAGATTAGGGCCCTGGCGACTTGTTCTAAGCTGTGTTTGCATGGACTCGCCCCCTGTCGCCTCCTCCCTGGTTTGAGGCATCTGATAAGCACTGACGCTGATACATGTAATCTTCGTTGGACAACTGTAAATAGTACAGCGTGTACGTCTGAGTTGGTCAACGCCTGTAACATGCATTAGTTGTTCGATAGCAGTTGCAAGGGCTCTGAAGTTTGCACTCTTTGTTGGTCCAATCTGTAGCGTGTGTTACCTGTTGGACAACACCTATAACGGCTGTAAACTGGAATGTGTCTTGGATAGTGGCTACAACGTGTGTAATCTTCGTTGGTCAACGTCTATGACATACCTCATTTTTTTAACAAGAGTACAATGACTTGTATAATGGCCAAAGGTAACGGGCATAATGTATATTGCATGGTGGCAAATTTGCGTGTAATCTTCGTTGTTGAACGATATAATGTGCTTGATACCTTTGACAACGGCTATAAGGGCTAAAGTGTGCGTGATATGCTGGACAATGATTATAACATTAGGTTATTACCTTTGAATAATTGTAGCGAAATAAGTCTTCTGCGCCGCTCAGTGCATGCGGGATCGGCGGTGCCGGGCGACCGAGCGAGCTGTTCGCTGTGGCAAGGGACCGCTCGCCTGAGAGTGCACGACCTCTGCAGTCGACCCCCCCCCCCCCCCCCCCCCCATTCGAGTGTCTGCCTTATCGCAGACGTGGGTGAAGTGCTCGATTCCCAGACGCGCGCTGGTGAGAGTCGCAGCCCGGGGACAGGATGCCCGCTGGGGATGGAACGCCGTGGCTGCGAGGCAGTCGCCATCACCGTCGCCGTCACCGTCACCGTCACCGTCACTGTCACCGTCACCGTCACCGTCACCGTCACCGTCACCTTCACCTTCACCTTCGCCGTCACCGTCACCGTCACCGTCACCGTCCCGTCACCGTCGCCGTCACCGTCACCGTCACCGTCACCTTCACCTGCCTTCGCCGTCACCGTCACCGTCACTGTCACCGTCGCCGTCACCGTCACCGTCACCGTCACCTTCACCTTCGCCGTCACCGTCACCGTCACCGTCACCGTCACCGTCACCATCATTATTATCGTGACTCGTCCTGCGCGTGCGCCTCTGAGAGCGTGGGGCAGATGCGTGCGGCGAGGCCGTGACTGAGCGTGCGCCACGCTCCCTTCTCTCCGCAGAACCCCCGCGTTCGACCGTTCTCTGCACATGCCGTCTGCAGACGAGCTCGTTGTTGCGGGTTTGCGGCCTGTAGACGGGTCCCGCTCAGTGTGTGTGTGTGTGTGTGTGTGTGTGTGTGTGTGTGTGTGTGTGTGTGGTGTGTGTGTGTGTGTGTGTGTGTGTGTGTGTGTGTGTGTGTGTGTGTGTGTGTGTGTGTGTGCGCGTGCGCGTGCGCGTGCGTGTGTGTGTGTGTGTGTGTGTGTGCTGTTTTCTCCGCCTAAGACGCTCGGTATGTGACTCTCCGCTGCGCCTCCCGTGCGCAGACGCTGATGGACCGAACGCGCTGCCGGCTGTTCGTCGGCTTCCCGGACGGCCAGCTGACAGACATCGGCCAGGCGGCCATCTTGTTTCCCAGCGCCACCTCCATCCAGCTGCCCAGGTGAGTGCTCGCGGCCGGCGTGTCTCGGCGGTTGGTGGGTCTCAAATTTCCTGACAACGATTTACTGATCGCCCGGGTGACTTACTGGTAACCCACAGGGGGTTGCAATTTCGCCCGCCCGAGCTGATGTTTTCAACTACAAACTAATACTACGTGTATTTCTGTGAAGCTTCTCACCAGCCAGCAGTCTTCCGTCGCGGCCTCGTGACCAGCGCCTCCCCGTCCGTGGGTTACCCGTGGCGGCCTCGTGGCCAGCGCCTCCCCGTCTGTGGGTTACCCGTGGCGGCCTTGTGGCCAGCGCCTCCCCGTCTGTGGGTTACCCGTGGCGGCCTCGTGGCCAGCGCCTCCCCGTCTGTGGGTTACCCGTGGCGCGTACCGGGCTAACACACACGGTCTGCAATGGCGTTTGCAACATGAAAACACGATCCCACGGCCGCCTGCCTGCGTGCCGCGGGCAACACGCAGCCCAGCTGCGTGTTGCCCGCGGCTTGTTGCGCTTTGTGTTGTTGCGTGTTTATGACTGACACTGGGCGACAGGGCGACACCGTTCAATGATGCACGATGGTGATACGATGTCCCTGGTGATGCACGATGGTGACACGATGAACCCTTGGTAATGCACGGTGGTGACACGATAAACCCCTGGTGATGCACGATGCGGATACGATGCGCCCGCGGTGATACACGATGGTGACACAATGCACCCCTGGTGCGAGCCCGACGCGGCATTACCAGGGACGCCGACGGACTGTTACGGAGGGCAGCAGCCGGATCCCGATCGGCGCTCCGTATCAGATAAACCGCCAAGACATGGTGCGCTGCCGTTACAGTATGTTTGTTAGTTCTAAGCCGGCTTTTTGCATCATGCTGATAGGTGAGGTCCCCAGCAATGGCCGCGTAATCATGGAGGTGATGCCGCGAAGGGAATGATTTAGATAGCAGCATTTTTGGCGCCGTATGATTAACGTAGTCGGTGCGTCCCAGAGACCAAATCATCATCATAGATAGCAGCATTTGTTTTAATTATCGAAATTTGATTTGATCTGTGTCGTGGTATTTCCATTTGCATTTATATTGAGCAATGGAATACGCTCCAACGAAATTGCTAGCCGCGAGTAGTTTGCTGGGGCAAAATGGTCATAAAAAAATGTGTTACGTGCCACGTACAACTGAGCAAACCAAGGTTAAACGGTAGCATGCAATCTGTGGCGATTTCGCACCAGTATCAGGTTGTCCTCTAAGGGCCTTTGACACAAAACAGGTGGTCCTGTCCCACTGAATGGTTGTTTGACCAGCCGGCAAGTCAGTGGCTCCTCGTGCCACTCCAAGGTACAGTGCTGCGGTCCCCTGCCCGGCTCGGGCACTCCCGGCGGCGGAAGGGTCGAGCCATGGGTAACCGTAGCCTTACGCGACCCAACACGGCGGTGGGTAAGTGCAGGTCGGGGCTGGCGGGCGTTACGATCCTTCTGCAGCTGCATTCCGGCGCCAAGAAATCTCTCGCGAAGCTTTCCTGTATCACAACATTTACGCCAACATGGGAAGAGTCAGACGCTAGCAAACGTGCGAGCTGTGGAGCTCGCCATCCGGCATGGACTCGCACGTGCCGCACACTCTTGAAAGAAAGAGCGGAACCGTCACAGTGAAACGGAGGCGATTTAGGGAGAGACCGGGAGGGCTTGCCGTGACGCACACCCCATCCGCTGCTGCCGCGGCGCCCTGTCCGCTGCTGTCGCGGCGCCCTGTCCGCTGCTGCCGCGGCGCCCTGTTCGCTGTTGTGGCGCCCTGTCCGCTGCTGCCGCGGCGCCCTGTTCGCTGTTGTGGCGCCCTGTCCGCTGCTGCCGCGGCGCCCTGTTCGCTGCCGCCGCGGCGCTGTGTCCGCTGCTGTCGCGGCGCTGTGTCCGATGCTACCGCGGCGCCTGTCCGCTGCTGCTGTGGTACCCCGTCCGCTGCTGCCGTGGCGCCCTGTCCGCTGCTGCTGTGGTACCCTGTCCGCTGCTGCCGTGGCGCCCTGTCCGCTGCCGCCGCGGCGTTGCGTCCCGGCCGAGAGCAGGTCACGTGTGGTGGACGTGCCAGCTGCGAGGAGTCCCACGATGGCCACCAGACTGGACCTCTTTCATGATATGACTGCTGGCGACTCAATGGCTTTGCTCTGGCATTTGCTCCAGAGACAGGACATATCCCCAAACCTCTTCAGAGAGCGCAGTTGGGGTGCGGTCACTGCCCCGACAGTGTCGATTGCTTAGGACCGGGCTCCAGCGACGGCCACTGAGCTGCTCAGCCAATTTCCTAGTGCTCCCTCGCAGCAGTCTGTAGCGACTCACCCCGGTACTGCAGAAACCATCGAGAGTGCTGCTGTGCGCGCGGAGCCGGCTGCGCATCCGACGGAGGAGGGCTGGACTCGTGTCTGGCATGGCCGGGGGTCGTAGCGCTGCCGCTCTTTAATCCGAGCGGGTGGCTCTGAGCGCCCTGTCGTCGCCCTCCGAGGGGGGGGGGGCGGCGGTTGGTGGGCCCTTATTCTGCTTCCGTGGGGGGGGGGAGGGGGGGGGGGGTTGTGCGATGGGCGACGTGCGTGGCCCCCTGGCCGCTGCTGGATGTTGTGCGTTGCCGGCTGCCGCTATTACGCCTCCCCACAAGAGCGAATTTATCATGAGGAGCCCATTGGTCAGCATAAGAGCCAGATGATGTTAGCGCACGACTCGGCACGTTGTGGCCCCGGTACACCCGACATCAACGCACACTCATGTGAGCCACAGAGCTAGGATGAAGCGGGTGACCGGGCATTCGACGGGACGGTGGGTCCGGTCAGGCACCATGAACGGCCGTCTCCCCGCCTATGGCTGCGCGCCCTTAACCACGGTATCCACCTCCACCCTTTAGCTTGCGATAATATTTGAATTGGGCAAAAACGGGATCGCGTGCATACTAATACGTCCAACTGGCAAGGGTCCCACGCACTGGCGAATTATATTGGCAAGAACCCGCTGGGTAATGTCCCTGCCCTCCCCCCCCCCCCCCCGCCTTAACTAACCCACGCAGACACCATGCGCTCGGCGCCCCACCACACTCACTCCAAGCATTCACATCCGCTGGTGTCCTACATCATCCCATTCGTCCTTGGCTCGCACGCGTGTGGGGCCTCCCCCCTTATTTCCTGCGCCTTGGCATGCTAATTGGCTCGTCGGCGTGGGTCCTCGTTGAGTTAAGTTAAATTCATTTATCACATTTCGATCTTGCCATAAAGCCACGTTTAAGCTATGTTTAAAGTGCATCACGCCTGTCCTGATTGTCCGGCCTGACCGGCCTGTCCGGCGGCCTGATTCCTCGTCGCCTCCCCAATGAGCGTCGATGGCGGGATTCCTATCCGTCCCGAACATCCCGTCACCAATCGCTCATAAGGCCCGGCGTACAGCACTTCGGAAGAAAGCAGACTGACTCCTGTCCTCTCCCAAGGCGGAGACGCCACGGATAGACTCCGCTGCCGTCATGCACAATCAAGCATCCCGGGCGGTCCCCACGGGTCCAAGGTCACATCATGACCAATGCCTTTTTTTGCCGTCACGCCTGGGGTCAAGTGGGAAACAATAAAACGAGTCAGCCGTCTCCGAAAAAGGAGCGAAACTGTGTCTTGGGCCGCGCTGCCCACAAACGTCTATCTGCGTAAAAGCAGAACTACGGCCGTCTGGCTCCTCGTCCTTGTAGCCACGCCGGGCCGCTCACTTGCCGGCGGGCCGCGAGCACTGGACCGCTCCGTCCATCCACACCGCAAGATGCTGCCATCTGCCGGCGGGTCGCGGGATGCCCGCGCCGCCATCGCGCACTGCCGGGTGCGCGATGGACGGCATCAGGGCGGCGCGATTGTGAGCGGATCGCGCATGCGCGCTGGCCGTGCTCCGGCGGGAATTCGGCGTCTCAAAAAAGCAACAACAACGAAAAACACGCACACGCACACCAGCGACAACTGAAGCGGAAGACCAAACGTCCTGTTGGCGGGAAAACGAACCTTGGTCTGTGCAGGAAGTCCCACGAGACTATGCATTCCACCGGCCTAGGCAACGCGAGCAACAACGAATGGGGAGAAGGCAGCGTGGTCGTGAGAGAAGCCGAGCATGCGCGCTGGATCGAACCCGTGAGGGTCCGGCCACCTCGAAATATTGACAATAACAGCAACAAAGGGAACAAGATAGGCGAACCGTCCACCCAACCCACATTCTACCACCATTGCCGCCGGAGACCTCCGGTGACAGTCGGCGCTGCCCGTACGCTGCGTCTGGCCGCGACGGCGGCCAGGCGAGGGCCCGGACAAGCCGCAGCGCCTCTACATGGCCTCCTCCACCGGCAACTCTGGACAGCTACGGGGCGTGTCAACGAGCGGGCCGCTGCGCCCAAGCATGCATCCCGGGCTCCGGACACAGCACCGCCCAACGCCGGCCCGAGTGTCCTCTCGCCGCCCGAACCAACCTCAGCCATCCTCGCTCCCTCGCTTAACCATTGCGATGCAAACCGTCATCTGTATTCACACTCAAGGACAACGAGGCAAAAATCACTCACACACTGCGACACACCAGTCCATCGCTTCACGCGGGCTCAGCGTCGAGCCGCGTGGCACTTTACACACTCGCACCCGTGCCCCTCCCCCTTTCCCCAGCTCCGCGGGAGGGTCCGATAACCGCGTCTTGCGCCGCCCAGTCGGGAGGGGGTGAAAGGGCACGCTCGGAGCGCCAGCTGTCCATGGCCTGGTGGGATGGGGAACAACAGCCTGGGCACTCACATCGTGTGCGCTGTCGCCGGTGACCGTCGTACGCCGTGTCGAACATCACAGCCGGACGCTGTGAGCCGGGGCCTCGGAGGGTCGACCTCAAGATGCAGCTGTAGGCGTCGGGCGCACTCACTGGCACTGTACTCTCCCTTTCTCCGGAGCCCCTCGCTTGATGTTTTATTGATTTTCGACACCTTTCAGCTGGGCCGGCCTGCCTTCGTCTTCTCGCGAGATTCAATGGGTT